TTTTATTACTATTTGGTGGTTAGATCTTAGAGATTCTATGGCCTTTTTCTCTGGTAGAGAGAGGTTGTTGTGGTGGCGTGTGTTGCTGATTATTTCATTGTTCATTCTTTCCCTGAAGTAGTCAATGTAGCAGTCAAGGTTAGGGTTTCGTCCACTGCGAGGTGTCCAATCTGATGTTTTTTTGGGTTTTTTGGCATTGATCTTTTCTTGAATGTTGTCAGAGGATGAGTTGTTGTTGGGAGTGGGTTCAGTTTGGTTGTGGAAATATTCTTTGAGGCGCAGGCGTCGGAAGAATTCTTCTAGTTCTCCACACTGAAGTATTTTATTAGGGTGTTTTTCTGGACAGAAATTTAGGCCTTTAGAAAGGACAGATTTTTCAGTTTTGGTAAGTGTGTGTGTGGAGAGATTGATATTTGTGGGTTGGCTGCTGCTTGCAGTTTCAAGTCTGAGGTTGGAAGGTCGTACGGTGTTGGTGTTGTTCCTCTGATGGTTGTTTTGTGACTGGGGAGCTTGTTCTTGGAGTAATTTGTTCCATTTCTTCTTTTTATGTAGGATGAATGCTGTAGAAAGTTTTTCGTAGTCTCTTTGTATCCGCTGTATATTGTCAGGGAACATGCATGGATTTCTATCTTTTAAGTTGTTGTAGTGTATGACAATTTCCTTCCTGAGTTGGTCTCCCAATTACCCAATTACCGGTGGGGGCACATTTCTCACAGGAGGGCCACTCTCTCTCCAATCTCTCAGTCCTGATCCTCAAGGGAAATTTACACAACACATCCCAGAGACGAGCCTATGAGCTCCATTTCATCAACCTGCTGGATACTAGAGATCAGGGACTAAACATAGACATTGGATTTTTGATACATTATAATCTGCCTGGCAACTGACTCCCCAGCCCAGCCCAGCCCAGCCCCTGGCTTGTTTACTTTTCATTCCATCCAGGAAGAGCACACACCAACTGCTGCAGCTTCCTGAGCCTGACGAAGGGTTTTTGAACCCGAAAGCTTGCTTAATAACTATTCTCCAACCATTTGGGTTGTTCTAATAAAAGATATCAAATTCACCCAAGGAACCTTGTCTGCCTATATCCTTAGACCAACACGGCTACAACCTAAACCCCTGCAGGTATGGTTTAACAACTTGAGAGTCTAAAAGCCTGCATGGGTGGCTTTACACCAAACAAAAACATACTTTATTGTTGAAAGCTCTACAGCAGTGGTTTTCAACCTGTGATCTGGGGATCCCTGGGGGTCTGCAGACTGTCTAGTCTAAGGGGTCTGCGAAAGAGTACTATAATTAGTCAAAAGTATGTGAATACCCACACAATTCAAAGCACCTCCATTCAAATTTTTTTTAGGGGTCTGCAAATCACAAAAAGGCTAAAAACCACTACTCTACAACAAGGAAGTATTACCAGGCATTAAATTCTTATAAGAGCAGGCCATTCTAAATCCTCATTTTTCACTTGTGCAAGCATCTCTAAATTTGTTCTTTGAGTTAAAACTTCAGGTTTGGACACAGCCAGGAGGTGATTTTATTTTTTTATTTAAGGTTTTTTCTGTTATGCAAGCCATTTTAAATAAGCTCAAAGCATGATTCTTGAGAAGCCAAAAATAAGAGATGCCTTTTAATGCAACTGCACAGTTCTACTATTAAACTGGCAAGGAAAGAATGACTGATTTTACTTTTGCCAGCAAAGAATTGCATCTCAGATGTGCAGTGTGTTAGTCCTCTCATTAAATTGTAAACTCCTATCCTTATTTATTGCAAAAAGGCAGCGAAAGTGTTTCTACAAATCCGAAGAAATTAAAAATACATGGGTAATATCAAATTAAGACTGTATCTGCAATATTATTCCTACCATTATAGATATATTATAGAGCAGGTGCAGTATTGCTTTTAATCTCTCACACTGTGTTTTCCTTACCCTTAACGATGCATTAGTGAGGGTTACATTTGCACTTATGACAAAGCAATGTGTTTATAAGAATAAACCAACATAAAAAGTATTGTAACTGCTTTTATTATAAAAACTAATTTACAACTCTGTTTTCCAGTACATTTTTTTTTAAAGTACTGCATGTATCAAACATTTATGATGCATTTCATCACTGTTAATTCTCTTTTAAAGAGCTGTCAAATATATCCCAAAATTCTCTTGAGAAGAGCCTCAAGATAATTAAGCTTTTTGGCTTTCTACAGAGGAAAGGAGAGGCTTAAGTAATTTATGGCATGAGGAAAACATACCATTAAAAACTTAATACTTTGTCTGAAGAGCATTCTTTTGGAAATGTCATAAACATAAAACTTAGAAGAGGATTTACATCTTTGCTTTAGAACTATCAAGAGCTTCAAAGTTAAGTTAGATTTACTAGGGCAGATGAATCTCATTTTGGAAGGTTTGACAACATTTATACTTCAACAGCTCTTTAAAAGGAATAATGGTGCACACAAGCTACAAACTCCTTGTCTCAGTGTATTACACAGAAATTAAAATAAACATGGAAGACCAATATCTTTACATTTTATTCTTCTTTACAAAAAGAAGAATCTTAAAAAAAAAAAGCATTTAGTAGTCCACTTGTGCTTAAAATATTCAAATGCATGAGAAAGCTAAAAGGGAAAAATACACATTTTTGTACACCATGATCAAAGAGTTATGTTATAAATCTTTTGAAATTGCACTGTATTTAAAATACCCCCTGCAGTCAGCTCCATTCCTAAGTACAGCTGTTAATGCTGCCTGTCACAGTTCCTAGTCAGCCTAATTGCCAACCTGTGGAGGCCCTTCGGGGATAAGTGATGTGAAAAAGGTGGTGATAAAGGACCAAGCTGAAGCCATAAATCCAGGTTGCTGCTCTGTATTTGCATCTTCACCTGTATCTTGTCCACTGTCTTCTTCAATCCCATCGTCCATAAGTCGCTCCTTTAAAGAGACAAAAATGTTTAAGTGGTTTAACTGCTTTAATAAGAAAAAAAAGTACATGTACATTTGAGGAGGAGAAGCATTCCACAAAGTTACAGTTTCATCAAGGCAACCCTTTCCCATATAAGGGCTACTAGCATAAACAGAATGTACATGGAGGTGGAAGAAATCTAATTATCAATTCTTTAAGCTCTGTACCAAGCAGTTGAAAAATTTATTTCAGACAGAGAAAAAGGTGGGGATGGCACTGAACTGGTTTTACATAAAATCCTTAATGGCTACCACTTTAACACATTTCTCTTCACTTCCAGAAATCTCTTATGCAGATATTGTAAGAAAAAAAGGAAAATTAATTTTCTATCTTTATGTCCTCCAAATTCAAGCCTCAATTTTGTACTACTATTCATTTAACAGAAATGTGGAAGGGAATACACATAGGGAAATATGAAACATCCAAGCCTGTTTTCACCTACCATCTCTTCAAGGTCAGGGTTATTTACATTTTGCCCATCGTGGTTTACTTCTGCATTATTCGCTGCCTGTTGCTGGCCTCCCTCTTGCCTAAAGGGGAACCATCCAGCTTGGTGTCTATTCAATAAAATGAACAATTGAGTACAGTATGTCTCTAAATCGTAAACCTGCAAAATTGCTTCTACAAGTGGGAAAGATAATTTCTATCTATGGAATGATCTCTCATTCAACTTATTTGCAGAGCATTCTTCTTCTGATTAGACTTTTCAGAGATAATGGAACCCAATTATTTCTAGGTAGAAGTAATTTAACAGATTCCTATTAACCCAAATAGCAAAAATTAAATGTTTTATAAAACAGCTCTTTTACTTTAGGTTAACCTTGTAAAAACAGCATCTTTCCCTGTCTTCCCTACCCCCCCCCCCCCAAAAAAAAAAAACAACAAAAAACAAAACAAAGCCAAGGTGAGTGGTCCTTCAGGTTGGGGGAAAAACTATTTCAGAACCATGCATAACTATGGCAAAAGTCAGTGTTCTGTAAGTTTTAATAAGTTCCACAAGGCAGTCTTTGTTAATTTTTTCAAAACTAGCCTGACTGAAAATGTATTCAATGGCTGATAGCACAAGTCATGCAGCCTCGTTCAACCCATGCTATATTTTAGAATCTGTGCACTGTAAATCAGCTGTCCACCATGTAAAAATCAATACCTTTAGAGGAGCTCATCTTTTAAACCTGCATTCACTGAAATGTACATCTTCTAAATCACCTGCAGTGCAATGCAAATGCTCTAAGTATTATATGGCATGTCCTACTTCCTCTCATATCCCAATAGGGCCCTTAATGGGAGAAGATTTTTAAAAAAATCATTAGCAACCTCTGAAATTCTGTAGTAAAAACTGGTAGAAGGTAGCAACTTCCTTTTAAAAAAAAATAAGTGTGTAGTAAAGCTTTCCTCTTCTGATAACTCTAAAAAATGGAATCCTCGGCATCTCTGACGGAGTGCACACAACAAATTACATATGTGCTTAATTCAAAACAGAGTTGAAGTTTGCAGTTCACCTTTAAGATCCTATACCATTAAACATGCGATGTAATTTAAGCTCATGCAAACGTGCTTTTCAATTGCATGAATGTTAGTTCCTCTTTTACTTACCTCCTAAAGAAACAGATTGGCAAAACCAACCCCTGTGTAATTTCGGTAGGCCAATGTAAATTACATCAAGTTCAGAAAATCAGACCTCCGACTATCCAATGGTAGCTGCTTAGTGCATGCACTTATTACTAGGGGTGCACCAATAAAGATTTTCTTGGCTGATGTCAATAGCCGATCCCTCACCAGGCATAATCGGCCGATACTGATCCAATAACCAGTTTACTGGAATGCAGCTGGGCAGCGCAAAGAGCAGTGCCCTGTAAGTAAGTCTATGGAGGGGAAGGGGCGTGGGGGGGGGGGCAGGCAGATCAAGGCCCCCACGGTGAGGGAGTGAGTGGGGTAGGGGCACCAGGCAGTGAATGGGACCCCAAGGGAGTGGGACAGAGCTGCAGGTGGCTCGTTCTGGGGATCAGTGTCCTAGAGCTTAAAAATGGCAGCGGGGGTGCTTAAAACTCATTGAATGAGCTTTAGTTCAAGCTCCACCACTACCATTTTTAAGCACCAAGACACTTTTAACTGGTGCGAGGACAGAGGCATGTCGCCCCCTGTGGGCTTGGTGCTCTTTGCCCTGCTGCCTTTGCACTGGGAGCCGCATGCTGGCTGCATCGTGCCCACTACCCAGCCAGCAGCTGAGGGCACAGCTCGCAGCTACAGCCGGACAAGCAGGGGGCACAGCTCCTGGAGCAAAGGCAGCAGGGTGAAGAGCCCCAAACCCAAAGTGGGCAGACTGTCTCTGCCCCTGTCCCCGCTTAAGTGTCCCAGCACTTAAAAATGATAGCGGTAGTGCTTGAACTAAAGCTCATTTCATGAGCTTTAATTCAAGCACCTCCACCACCATTTTTAAGTGCCAGGATGCTGATCCCTTAGATAAGCCGCCCGCAGCTCCATCCCGCTCCCTGGGGTTCCCATTCACCACCCTGCCCTTGCCCCAGCTTCTCCCTCACTGTGGGGACCTCGATCTGGCCCTGTCCCCCCCTCTCCCCCTCCCCCCCAAGCCCCTCATGTCTCTACACTGCCTGGCTCCATTCCTGGCCAGTGCATGCGTGCGGCTGCGTTCATGTATGTGGCATCTGGGGGCCCTGGCCAGAAGTCATATTATACTTATCGGTACATTATTGACTATACTGGCCACAAAAAGCTGATAACGTTAATTTTCCTTTTAATCGGTGCCAATATATTGGTGCACCTCTAAAGGAGTAAATGTTAGCAAATGACTACCCACAGGATCAGTGGGACCTAACAAAGCCTGAACTAGTATACTCTTACACAGTTGGAAATTAATCCCTGCTTCTTCCAGGCAAAGTTAACTTTGTCCCTTATGTTTTTTTACTTTTCACCAAAGTAAACAAAGTTTCTCCATGCCCCAAGTCCTGCTAACAGTTGCAGGTTTTCCTTGCAACAGTTATTCTGTTGCTATACTCAACATACAAATGCAGTGTTTTTGTGATAAGGGTTTTTGTCTTCAATTTTTAGTGGGGGGACAGACGGAGGAATACAGAATCACGAACTATCATAAAAATATTTTGAAAATACATTTGAAAACCTTGTTCCATTTATTTGAAGAAGTTCTTGCTCATGTGTTTTCCTTATTAATGAGGATGGTTAATTTCTCCATTATCAAGTGTTTGTTTTTCAAACTTTAAAGTCCAAATAAAGTGATCCAAAAAATACTATATTAAAAAAATACAGTATTTTACTTACATTGATAAATACACACAGACAGACAATCTACATGTCTAAGCAAGCGCCATATTTAACCAAAATTTTTTTACTCACAAATAAACAAGTAGCATGGCTCCCATTACCATGACAAAACGACTGAAGGAGGAATAAAAGTACACAATGCTGAGAAGAATGGCTGCTCTGGAGAATGTGTACATCCAGTCCAACCAGTCTCGATTGAAGTCCTCCTCATTCACGACTGGACCTCCTTGTGCATTCATCTGAACATTCTGGTTTACAGGCCTGTTCTCTGGTGCTGCTACGTTTGGCGCTGCTGCGGGCTCATTTGCAGGAACATGCTCTGAATTTACAGGCTGTGCAGCTGCTGATCTGACTGGCTCAGTGCTGGATGTCACTTGGGCTGAAACAGCAGCTTGGCTAGAAATTTAAATACACGTTTTCTGAAAAGCCAGTTTTGTATGGAAAACGTTTGAACCCAAACTTCATTCTAGCTCCTCTTATAGAGGATCACCACAGAAACACAAAAAAATTGCAGTGAATTTCCAGATTAGGAAGTGACTTCATGGGAAATACTTCTCCAGCTGACTATACTACTATTTGTCCACATCTACACCCTTTACAATCATTCCTTTTCTCAGCCCAAGTCTTTACTGGTGGATAGATTTCCCTCAGCAGTTGTGTGCTACTTCCACACTGCATTCTCAACTCCTGTGTTAACTAACAAAAAGGAGTCAACATCAGAGACTAAATTTCCAAATGAGCATAAGACACTGCTGCAAAAGAAGCCCATTTCCTTTGGTATTATGGTTTAAAAACAAGATAATCCATTTCAGTCAGCAGATGAATTTTCTTGGCCATAACAAGCTGAATTTTAAAAGATGGTTTTATATGAACATTCCAACTACAAATATTTTAATAAAATGTTTGCTGGAACATAAAACTAACCTGCGTTAAAAGAAAACTTTAATTCCCTCAGCAAAATTATGTTCAGCATAAAAAGAATAAAAATCAAAAACCCCCAGACATTGAAATTTTAGATCTCAGACAGAAGCTATCTAAGGTTTTTATACCTTGTTTTCATCAGGGTATCTGAGCACTAAGAATATGCAAGTTAACTTACTATTGCATGTAGTATTGACGTGCATACATTTGTTGCCACCATATCATCTGTAAGGGGCTGAATGCAGGGTACATAGGAAATCCAGTAGGAACACCTTGCCCTGGAAACTGGTTACCTACATTACTGTAGAAAATTTTAAAAAAACCAGTTATGACATGGCTATTAATAGAGTAGAAATGCATCATTTTAAAATAGATGACACAAAGTACTTCCCGCCCTTTCCCCCACTTCTATTTGCTCCATGTGAGACAACACAACATCAATAAGACCTAACTGACATCCACTGGATAATGCCCAATCCATTACATCAACTGTATTACTGTAAAAAATGAAAAGCACTTAATTGGATATAAAATATAACCACAATAATTAGATGATCAATGCACCATTTTAAAGGTACAAGAACTAGGTAAAATTATTTCCATTCTAAAAGTGTATTTGTTGTAGCTGGAGGTGATCATTAGCCACATCTTCAACTGATGGGTTTGTAGTCAAAACACTGAAGGTTAATGCCTTATTATGATAAAAAAAATTAAGTTTGCTTCTTAAATAAAAGCTGCTGAAAAATACTGTATGTTCACATAGACACATCCCCCATTAGATTCCATATATACAGATGCCAGCACTTAAAGACTTTAAGAGATTATCTTATTTCTTATAGGGAGGAAGCTCCAATGAATACACAGCTTATAAAATCAGAAGCACCAAGGACTGAATAAGCATATAAAGAAAACTAATCTTTCATCTCCAGAGGTGGCTTCTGCAGAACATGGTTGTACGACACTGGGAGGACACTGTAGGAAGCTTGCTACTCTGCACTCATCATGCACCTATTTTGTAGATAAAGTATTTTGTTACCTAGGGAATTTTTCACATACAGAAGTTTTTTAAGCTCTTACACGGAAGCTGAAAGTAGTAAACACTTCATAACTCCTGGGGTATACAAGATCGTGTATATTTTTAGAAGATTCCCAGTTCTCTCCCAAACATCTTGATGTGGATCTATCACAGCACTATAACATGAAACTTGTTTCTTCTGACTGCAGGTAGCAATATTTCAAATGGTGTAATCCTACTGAAGACTACATCTTTACCCTGGGTAACAAACTCTTTGGAAAGATGGCACTAAAGCCACTGAAAAGCACTACATTTGTAGGGCTAAATACACAACCGTAGTTATTAAACAAAAACCAAAAAATAAAATCAAGCATACAGCCATTCAAGCTGTTTGTAAAATTACAGAGATGTGTCAAGTGCTATGAAACGGTAGCATTTTCAAAGACTAACTTCTCGGTTTTGCAGCACTACATGCAATGTCCACATAGCTATAAGTTACAGGGGATGCTTTTGGCAGGAGAGAGGGCAAGCAGACAATGATCTAGCATCCCTGAGTGGAGGCAACACAAGAAGCAGCCCCCTTTGAATCTGCAACTCTCCAGCCAGGGGAGATGAACACCTATATGCCCCCAAAGTACTACATTTTTGTAATGCTGCAAAGTGCCAAGTAATTTTGTAGTACTACAAATAAATGCTTGTCCATACCTTAAAACAAGGGAATCACACACCACAGGGGACTGGCACGAGGCTTGCGCTGCATGCACTGTCCCACTAGACTGACCCTGCATGCCAGTTCCAGCACACAGTAACAGCCTAAGCACCTAATCCAGACATGGGGCCCATCTGGCACAGGCATCACATACAGCTTGCACCTCAGACATTCTGTGCTGCATGCAGCACCCACAGTGCCAGTTCCAACCCACATACAGTGTGCGACACAGACCCGAGTGGGGGGAGGAGGGGGGCAGCGCATACTGCATGTGAGGTACTGGGCTGGACTGGCTGCACACAGCACAGGGGACCAGCATGGGGCACATGCTGCATGCAGCACCCTGTCAGACTGGCCCTGTGTGCTGGGCCCAATGCGTGGCCTCAATCAGGCCTGCAGATCAGACCAGCAACCCACATCTGGCCCATGGGGCTGGAAGAGTTTGACACCCCTACTTTAAAAGGCCCCACTTGCCTACCAGCCACTCAGATACACTAGGAGAGGCCAAAGAGAGGAAGGCACAGAAGACAGAAAAAGGAGACTGTTCAGAGCCTATGTCTAATCTCTCTGCGCACTCTCTCCATCAGACTTGCTGCTCAAATATGAGCAAAAGTCATCCAGCCAAATCCTTCACCTTAATATGTCCAACACTGACACAAGGAATATCTCATTACTTTTCAAAGAATCATTTTGCATTTACTTATTACCTACTTTGGTACAAGGCAAAAGTTATTAACCAAATTACAGGGAACATTTCTACAAAGATACTGGAAACCAACTTTGATTTTTAAAAAGCTAAAGCTAACTAGCAGGCTCTGCAGTGCCTCAGGCTCATTCTGAGAAATCAGCAAGATTGATTTAGGACTGGTGACAGTGGCTGGACAAGTCTGTACTTTCAGACTGCCAAGAGCTGATGGGGCTGCCTGCAAGCCACCCCCTCCTCCCCCTTCCCCAAGGTTGCTGCTGTGGTTGCCAAAGGATGGGCTCTTGTTGAGTCAGTGTTCTGGCACCTGCAGCAGAACTGCCGGGCCAGGCAGGAACTACACCCATGACAATACACTGGCTGTTGCCCCATGGCTGGATACCACAGGTCTTTGGACAACGGCTGTCAAAGCACAGTCGAGAAGGCCTGCTCAAGCAGTTGTGGTAACACTGGTGTTCTAGCTTCAGGGGCTGCAGACAAGGCACGCAGCCACACGACAGCAGCCCTCCAGCTGCATTGGCTGCTGCAGTAGCAGCAGCAAGATCCCCTGACCGCTTGGGGCTGGGCAGGCTATCAGGAAGCCAGCCACTGTCCTTCCCTCTCTCCCCCTTAAGGGATGGGAGGAGAGAAACCAGAATATGGAATGTTAATAGCCCTAGAAACCCCTGTCACACTATGTACAGGCATTAATATTAGCACTAGAAAACCTAGAAGTTCCTTTCTGAAAGTACTACTATTTTGTAGCACCTTGTAGCACTACCAAGACACTAAAATATCTTAAATGGCTGTACACAGCAGTATACTAAGTGAATAATGGCATACTTAGTGCTACAAATTTAACGCCTGTCCATGGCCTAGGAGACTTCAATCATGCAATATCCTAGAACTCCTTTTACCTCTTACACACACAAGCAATTTTCATGCCTTATTACCAGGCTTACTAGATACTTCCTTTTATGAGGGGCAAGCTATACCTTTATACCTTACACTGTCAAGCCTTGAGGACCATTCAATAGTTTCTCACTGCTGCTGCAACTTGCAATGCTAACTTGTGAGAAAACATATTTGGAAAATATGACAGCCATTAGCCCAGTAATTATGTAACTACTAATATTTTACTAGTAACCCAGCAGTTTTCAAACTGCAGGGCGCCTCCCCAGGGGAGCGGCGTCATGCACAAGGCATATTTTACTTTTATTATTATACAAAATAAAAGTGATATTTGACAACATCACACATTGAAAGAGTACGAGTGAACCTTCTGCAACTGATTTCATAGGTGTTACAATGTACTTAATTAAGCCAGCGATCATTTCCATAGCAACAACAACATTTCCCGCATTCCGGTTTAATACACCCATCATGCCTACTCTTACAACACACAGAAAAGATTACAACAAGCATTTGTGCAGTGCGGCTTATTCTGCTGGTGAGTCTGATATTTTTCATACTAGTACAAGGTGAAAATGGAGCAGTACTTATTGCCAAAAGATACTGTTTGGAAATGAAAGGCAGAAGCTGAAACAACTAGTCAGTAAGTACAGTATCTGTGAATTTGAAACTTACAGGTGTAGGTAATTTAATTAGGTCATTTAAATTGTTTTAGTCTCTATTAAGTTTATGAAAGTATATTTTACATGTCTGTTCTGTCTGGGTTGGGGTGGGGCAGAGTGAACAAAATTATAACTCAAAGCGGGGCTCAGCTGAAAAAGTTTGAAAACCACTGTAGTAACCTAATAAAGGAGGCATGAAATTTAGGAATTCACGAAAAATAAACCAGAGAGAGAACCTTTCAAGGCAACAACACTGTCCAAGAGCTGGCTTGCTATCTAGAGGGGACATACGTATACTTCCAGTATACTGCAGAAAAAGACAAAGGAGGGGCAAGAAGCAGACCAGTTTAAAAGTCTGGCAGCACTGCAGGATAAGGGCTGCAGAGTAGAACAGGCTGAAACTGCTACTACTCCCCAGAAAACCATCTACAGAAAATTGGACCAGGAAAGGCCAAGGCCCATCTGCACATTCAATAATGACTGCAGCCTTGGAACAGTCCTATTAGGAAAGTGTACTTTCCACCTCTAAGTGGCTGACAGAATTCAGATCAATTGATTTGGCAACGCTCAAAATTTAATGGGAGGAGGGGGAGAGTGCAAAGGAAGAGGTCACAATAAGAGAATAACGTTTGAGAAAGGATTTATTTCTTGCTGGGGTGAACAGGATTAATGGTGTACACGAGCAATACTAATAATTGGTGTGGGAGTGGTGATGTGTTAAGTGTCAGTGGAACAAGAAAGCACAGGTAGTTCTCACACTAGCTAACAATCAGTCAAAGATATTTTTCAACCCTTCATTTGTTTAAAGCATGTTGTTAAGAAAGTTTGGGAGCCAATTATAGCTTGCAAACAAAGTATATTGCAAAGGCAGTGATGTCTGAAGCAACTGGCAACCAGCAACACCTGTCCCAGATATTTCTAGTTCTACTGTAGAATTGGTAAGTATTCTATGGAGACTCCCGAATTACATTTTTATTGTCCTGGGGTTAAAGCCATACACTAGTTCCCTTTTATTGTTGCTTTGGGATCCATGAATTGAGAGTTGCACAAAGAATGTGAGCAACACTTAGGCTAGGGAATGACACTACACATAGACCCGTTTAAGTGACTGTAGTATCATCCATGTGGGCACTAATGATGCGGCCAGTAGTCTGGACCATGTCATGAGAGACTACAAGGCTCTGGGTGCCAAGCTTAGGGAGCCAAGAGCACAGGTGGTTTTCTCATTCGTTCTTCCGGCGAGCAGACGTGGACGGCGCCACAAGGCCTGCATCAGAGAGGTCAACTAGTGGCTTCGGAGCTGGTGTTACCGGGTGGGCAT